GTGCATTTCTCCGGGTTGAAGCGCATTCGGCACGTCCTTGCGGTCTCGAAGACCTTCTTGAGGTGGGCCGTGTGGCCGTCCTCTGTGCAAGATTTGACGATCATGTCGTCCATGTATACTTCGAGCATGTCGCCAATTTCGTCTTGGAAGACACTGTTCATCATCCGTTGGTACGTGGCCCCGACGTTCTTTAGGCCGAAGGGCATGACGTTGTAGTAGTAGTTGCCCGACACCGTCATGAAGGCCGTGCTCTGTTTATCGTGCTCGGCCATCGGGATCTGATTGTACCCCGAGTATGCGTCCATGAAGGACAAGAGCCGGAAGCCCGCGGAGTTGTCGACGAGCTTGTCGATGTTGGGGAGTGGGTAGGCGTCCTTAGGACATGCCCGATTGAGATCAGTATAGTCAACACACATGCGCCATTTCCCATTATTCTTTTTAACGAGTATACCATTGGACAACCAGGTTGAATACCGGGCTTCCGAAATAAAATTTGCCTCTAGGAGGTCTTTTACAGCTTTTTCGGCTGCTGCCGATTTTTCGGGGGATTGGCGACGCCGACGTTGGACAACGGCTTTCGCGGTCGGGCTGATGGACAGCTGGTGGCAGGCGACCTCGGGGTCGAGTCCGGGCATTTCCAAGGCTCTCCAGGCAAAGAGGTCGGTGTTCTCGCGGAGGCAGGCTTAGAGCTGTCTTTTCGCGAGGTCTGGGAGTCCGGTGCCGATCTTCACGATTCTGCTCGTGTCTTCCCCGAGTGTGATGATTTCGAATTCTCCGTCCGGGATGGGGCGTGCTGGGTGGGAGGGTTGCCCGTTGACCTCGCTGGTCTTTATTTCGGGGTCGTGCTCCCCGGTGAAGCGACTGTCGAGGTCCACGGATCCGACCAGCTTCTTTGGTTTGCCCTTTGGTGCTACGATTGGAGTTGTCCTCTTGGTCGTTGGAGCGATGAAGTCTAAACCTTTCAGCGCAGCCTCAAAACACCTTCGGGCGGCCTCAATGTCTCCGTTAAGGGTCACCACGGCCCCCCGTTTTATGTAGTACTTCATCTTCAAGTGGACGGTGGAGGGTACCGCGGTGAGTTCTGCTATCGTTGTTCTGCCCAGGATACAGTTATAGAGGGACGGGCACTCGATGACTAGGAAGCAAATGCTGATTTCCCTGGCCGTTTCCTCTTCTCCGAAGGTGACTTTCAGCTCCACGTACCCCCAAGGTCTCGTCGTCGTCCCGTTGAACCCCTGAAGGTCGGAGCCTACGTAGGGGGAAAGGTTGGATTCGTCGAGTTGGAGGGTTGTGAACAGGTGCATGTACATGATGTCAACCGAGCTTCCCCCGTCGACGAGGAGGCGTCTGACATCAAAGTTCGCCATCCGCGCACGTATGAGCAGGGGAACGTTGGAGTTAGGGGATCCCCCGGGGAGTTCCTCGAGGTAAAATGTGATCGGATTGGATCGACCTTGGAATTTTTCGAACGTGCTCATTTTTCCGGAGTTGTTCGCGATAAGCTCGTCGAACTTTCTCTTCACTGATCCAATGGACAGGCTCCTCGTGGCTCCATCTGAGATGACCATGGCTCTGGCGAAGTATTCCCATCGGCTGGTTGGTCGGATTGGTTCGTCGATTAGGTCGGGTCCTTCGGGAAGACCGAATTCTCTGTCCGCGAACCAATCCTCGGTGCGGCTGACACAAAGTGCGACATGGAGCCTACTGTTGTCCTCTGGAGAGGGGAGTTCCTCGACTTTCTTGGCCTCTGGGGCCTCTTGCCTCGGTGGTTCGCCTGCCCGTGGCTCCTGTGGAATCGACAGTATTTTGATTTGTCCACATTGGGTTTAGGGGGTGTCGGTCGCGGAAAACGGACACCTCCCTGGACGAATTCGGTTTTGGCGCATTCGACCAGTATGCGCTCGCGGGAAGCGACTAAGGCCGTGTATTCTGTGAATCGGCCGGCAGGGCCGCGTGGTTCGCGTTGTTCGCGGGGCTCGCGGGGGCGATCTTCGCGACGGCGGTCCCCTCACCGTCGATGGCTCGAGGCTCCGTTGTCTCGGTGCCCGCGAGGGGCCTCCCTGTCTCGGGTGTCTCGAGCGGAGTTGGCCGCTTGTGTTTCTTCGAATCGGATATAATGCGCAGCTCTGTCGAGGAAATCCTGGAGGGAGGTTGGACGGTGTATGCCTACGGCCTTGTAGAACTTGGAGTCGTGGCGTAGACCCTGCTCCATTAAGTAGCGCTTCATCTCGTCTGACGTTGTCACTTGCACTGCTTCCCGGGTGAATCTTTCGATGTACTTTCGGAGAGGTTCGTCGGGGCCCTGGGTTATCGCCCTGAGGACGGCTTCCGTCTTCGGGTGGCGCCGGGACGCCGTAAAGTGTTTGGAGAACAGGTCTTTCTGGACTCTCCACGACGTAACTGATTCGGGCTCCAAACTTTTGTACCAGGTCATGGCGCCTTTCCTCAGAGTCGTCGGGAATAGCCTGCACTTGATAGCTCCCCGGACGTTTCGGTAATCGAGCATGGCTTCGATGTCCTCTAGGTGATCGTCCGGGTTGGATGTGCCGTCGTACGTCGATAGCGTCAGGGGCTTCTCCATCCCTTGGGGTATGGGGGCAGCCATGATTTCTCGGGACAGCGGGGTGCGATAATCGTCCTCGTCGCTGGGAGCCGGGGACCGATGGGGAGACGAGCCGTTCAGAATAGGCCCCTAGTTTCGGGTTCTCGACCTCCTGCCTAGGTTTTCGCCCCGAGGATCCCTGGCCGGGATCGCCGCAGTGTTCTGGCGCCTCTCGCGAACTTGTCTTGCTGGGGACCTGGTGCGTTCTCGCACTACCTGTGCGCGGTGTCTCTCCAGCCGCGGTCGGTGATTTCTGGGTCGAGGTGAGGGACTTCTCGAGCCTCCGTTCTGGTCTTCCCGCGGGGGGGGGGGGGGGGGGGGACCTCGGAGGGCCGACGCGCTCCAATGCTCCAATTCTCGCGTTTTGCTGGAACAGCAGCTGGTTCGTCTGGTTGATGGCCGTAAAGAGGGCGACCACCGTTGGGTCTGCTCCCGCCGGGATGGGAACGGGTTGGAATGCTGCCGGGCTCGAGGGCCGGTGGTCGGCCTGAAGGAGCCGCTCCGCGGATGACGGTGAGGCAGTTTGGCCGTCTCTCTCGTTAGTTTCCACCGGACGTGACGTTTCCATCTGCTTGTTTCCGTTGGTTGCGACGTTGAGCACAAAGTCGTGCGGAGTGTCGTCGCGGTGTGAGCTAGCCATGATCGTGGAGTGTTGGTGAAACTTTGGTTTTCTGCTTGGAGTAACGGGGAAGTTTCTGTTTCCACAGACGACACCACTGATCTAGCATGATCAGAAGGGCATCACAGACTGGCCACTCGCTGTTGGACTGCTATCTGTTCGCCGATGATGATGAGGAGGAGAGGGGTGTACCTGCGAACACTCCGATGCCAAAGTAAGAAATTGGGCAGAGTGAGAGCAAAGTACAGAAAGGGCAAGATGTGAATTACCTGACCCTCTTGAGGAAGAGGATATTTATAGAGAGACCCCAGCGCTGGGCCAACAGTCATTTGAGGTGGGCTGGATGACCAGGCCCAACCCTAATGACTGCTAGGGCTTACGTGGCGTAGTGAAGACCAGAACGTGGTCTTCGCCCTAGTCCAACTGTCCCGTGATCTCCGGAAAGTGGGTTTGACCTGCTCTTTCGGAGGTGGGCAGTTGGGAGATGACGTGTCCCCGCGGAGGGGGCACGTGGAGAACGTGCGCCGGACACGTTGTTCTCCCCGCGGAGGGGAGCACGCAAGGATGTGGTCTTGCTCGATGGACCGGGGGTGCCCTGTTCGGCCGAAAAAGGGGGCGTTGAAGACGCTACGGGACGTGCCGTCCATCCTGGCGGGGAGCGTGCCCTGCCCGTCCTATGGGGGTGTATGCCCGGTCAGATTAGTCCACTTAACGGACCTTGTGCGTTATTGGGCTGGACCGCGAGGCTGGGCCCAGACCAGAACAATATTAATCACATAAAATCTCTTTTATTTATAAAACATAATTGAGAGAATATATATGTGTATTTATTATCAATATTTTTACATAGGCCGGCCCATGCCCAACGATAAAGATTTTAGTCCTCTTTTTAAACTTTAAAATAGGTCTCAAATGTAAAAAAAAATAGATTTAAAATTACATATAATTAATATACTTTTAAAACAAATTACAACATGTGTCAATCGAAAAGTTTTGTTCCTTTGTGATATTAGTACTTATGTTTAATTTTTATTATCTTAATTTTACAATTTTAAAACTAAAAATATTTGCAGTTAAATTTTTAGCTGTCTAGAGTGTAAAAAAAGTTATAAAAATTACTAATTTAAAAAATTTATTTAATTTTTAATTAAATATTAATTTTTAAAATATCTCAATTTTATCATTTTAAAAATAATTTTTAATTAAATAACCTATAATTTTAAATTCTCTACACACATTAAACTTAACATTAATTTATAAAAAAAATTTTAAATTTTTTTAATTAAATATTATTAATAAAAATATTTTAAATCGAATTCCGCCTTAAATTTCAAAGCTTTCAAAACTCTTTAGGCCGCCCTGCCTTTTCTTCTTTACTTTCCTTTATGTAATATAAAAAAAAGAGAGAGATTCAAATCCATCACATTCCCACACGAATAATACGAAAATAGAGTTGGAAAGTTTCATTGGTCTCAAACTTAAAGATAAGTTAGAATTAGTACATGGGACAAAGATCCCGTCGTTTCATTTCACATCATCACAAATAAACTATCTATAACAATGAAGCACGTGGCCAATCTCCAAGCAAACGTGGCAAAACAGTTACTCGTGGCAACCCAACATGCTTGCCACCTTTTACTTCAAACATACGCTCATCGAAAAACGGTGACAAACCGTTCACTTTAAAAACCGATAAAAGTTTCATTTCACCATAACAGAAGAACACACACATACATTGATCAATCAAACACAAACAAACTCAAAAGAAAAAGTATTAACATGGCAGCAATGTTCATCACCAGAAATGCAATCTTCCGCTTCTCTAAGTCTTTTCCTAACGTCCCTTCACTCTCCCTTCCTAAACCTTCCAGAGTATTCGTCGCTTCTGCTTCCAACCAATCTGACGTAAGATTCTCAGGAGTCACATTTTCATTTGTATTAGTATCATATAACATTTTTGTTTTTGGGTACTGTTTATTTTCAGTGGAGAAATGCAGCAGATGGAAAGAGACATACTTCAATGGATTGGGCTTATAATTCAACCTCAAAGGCAAGACAGGATGCAGATGAAATAGCCGACAGAGAAAGAAAAACGTTAAACGGCGATGTAGATTCAGAGGACGTGAAACAATACGTGCGTGATGCGAAAGAGAGGACAAGGGAGGCTGCAAATAGGGCTGCAGAGAATGCTGATTGTGCTGGAGAGAAAGCTAAAGAGAAGACCAAGGATGCTGCAAACAGGGCTGCAGAGAATGTTGGAAGTGCTGGAGAGAAAGCAAAAGACTATGCTTATGATGCAAAAGAGAGGACAAAGGATGCAGCAGAGAGTGCTGGAGAGAAGGTTAAAGATTATGCTTATGATGCTAAGGAAAGAACCAAGGAAGCAGCGCAGAATGCTGGAGAGACTGCTAAAGATTATGCTTATGGTGCAAAAGAGAGAACCAAGGAAGCAGCAGAGAGTGCTGGAGAGACTGCTAGAGATTATGCTTATGATGCAACGGATAAAACCAAAGAAGCAGTGGGTACTGTGGCGGATAAGACGAAGGAAGGGGCTAAGAAAACGGCGGAGATGACAAAGGAAGGGGCTGAGAAAACGGCGGAGACGACGGGAGAGGTTGCTGGGGCGGCGACGGAGGCTTTGAAGAGTGCAGGAGAGATGGCGAAGCGGACAGCGCAAGGGGCGTGGGAGACGGCTAAGGATGCGACACAGAAGATTAAGGAGACGGTTGTTGGGAAGGATGATGACGATGATAATGATCGTGGTGGTGGTGTTGGTGCTGTTGTTCATGATGAATATGATCTTGAATTGAAGAGGAAGGGTTATGGTGAGAATAACAGTTATGATAAGAGGAAGGGTTATGGTGAGAATAAAGGTTATGATAAGAGTAGGGGTTATTGAAAAGAATTAAGGGTTTTAAATGATCAAGTATGATGTGGTGTATGTATGTATCTTATAACTTTGCATGTTTAGTAATACAGAATAAAAATATTAATCTAGTTAATATTTTTTAGTTAGATGGAAAGCTATTTTGGTATCCCCTCTCTGTTTAAGAACAGATAGAAATAACATTGGCGATATACGATCAATAACAACCAAATGTCACGGTCAATTGGGACAAAAAATGCGTAGAAAAGAAAAACATCAAGTCTAGAAACCAAAATAAGTGTCTAGAAACTACAAGAAAGTATGAATTTGTTCATACTACTCCTCACGATGAGGAAAATGACGAGGAGACCGAGAATAGTATGGCCAATAAAATTGCGCTAGTGTATACTGATATCAGAACTAAATATTTTTTTTAAAAAAAAGACAGTAGTCTAGTTTTCTTTTATTTCTAAGAGATTTTATTTTAAAGAGACTATAACTAAAGATTATAAATGCTTAAGCATCAAACAAAGAGAATTTTATTGTCCAAATTTTTAAATAAGAGATTTTTATACTCAACACACAAATAAGAGATTTTTAATGATTAAACTTTCAAATAAGAGACTTCTATATTCAAACATCAAATGTTCAAGTATTAAAGCAAAAGATTTTTGACTCTATAACAAACTATTAAGAGATTTTGGATAAAACTACATCAGAGGTGAAGATATAATACGACTTCTTAAGATGTAAGAACTTTTAAAATATATACAAGATGTTTTAAGTCTAGTTAATTTGACAGAGTGATTTTCTTTGAAATCTCAAGGATTAGAGTCCTGGATTATCCTTCATTTTTAAGTTCTTCTTCTCCTTATATAGAGAGAAGAAAAAAAGATTTTGAAAGACTTTCACCAAAAAATTGGATAAGCTTTGTATTTAATTGTACATGTCAAGAAACTACATTTCTGCACTAAAAATTATCCGTTGAAGTTCAAACAATTATGAAGAGATTTTTTCTTAAGTCTTCACGTTAACAAAATACCTCTAAGTCTTTTATAGTTTCCTTAATTAAAGAGATTAGATATCCTTTAGATTTTAGAACTCAGGTTCTGATCCTTCAGAGATTGACTTTCTTCAAACTTCACTGATCAGAGACATATCTCTTCAGAGTGTTTTTTTTTGCCTTTTGATGCTTTAGAGTCTGGATCACCAGAGCCTGACTTTTTTTAGATGCTGACTTCTTCGAAATTTTGGATCTTCCATCAGAGTAAGAGTCTTCAGAAGTGATCTTTAGAGTCAGAGTGTGAACTTTAGATTTAGAATCTTCAAGCTTCGCTTTATCTGTTCTTAGTCTTATAATCCTGCTTTCTTGAACAGATGTTAGAATATTCAATTATTCTTTAAATACTTTGTTATCATAAAAATCAAAGGGATATGATATTAACCAAATATTTTTCAACAATCTCTCTCTCTTTGATGATGACAGACATAAATATTTAAGAACAATGATTATTAATTTAATTACATGTTGGCTTCAAGTTCCAAGACTTGTAAGTTTTTCCTAAGTATGATAGTCCAAAGGGTGAGATTTGTAAGTCCCCCAAGTGCTATCCAGGTTAATTCAATTTTTTTTAAGTATAATATCATTAATATTTAAAATTAATTAAGCAAGTAAGAATTATCAACCAATTCAAGTGCAAAGGTGTGCTTAAATATTCATTATCATTAATATTCAAAAATTAATTAAGCAAGTAAGAATCTCTAATATTAAGGCTATTTCGGGTGAAAATCTTTTCGACCACAATTATTATATTATTTTTCCCCCTAAATTTTTTTTGTTGGGCGTTTCTAAGTACTTAGTCGACATCTTGATTTTGGGCACCATAATTATCTCAAGACTATTTCGCGCTTGGTTCCTTTCGACCACCTCCAGAGAAGGTTGTTCAATCGAAACTTGGTTAGCAGTTGGAGGCGCAATTAGTGCTAGGGGTGCCCCCAAAAATTCAAAAATTTTGTCCATTTGACGGGCTTACTGCTGATAATTTTGGATGGTGTTTTAAATCAAAAGGGTTAAATATTATACCTATTTGAGGTGGAAATATGACATGATATTTTTTGTCAAAAACAACGGCGTTCTATTGTCGTTAGATTAATCAGATATTCATGTGGAGGAGGAAGTGCTGCTGGCTCTGAATACTATTTGAAAAACAAAATTATCAATTAAAGTTCAGATTTTTGTATGGAGATTTTCAACCAACAAGCTGCAAACCAGAGTTAAATTGACAAGAAGAAACATTATCAATGGTGTGCATAATTTGGTAAGTCCGTTGTGTTTTAAAGAAGAAAAAGACTTAGTCCATCTCTTTTTCAATTGCGAGGTTAGCCATAATATGTGCACTAGTGCAGAAATGACTTTTTACATCGGGTCAAAAGCACATTTTACATTGGGTCTGAGTCTGATGTAAAGGCAAACGATGTAGTAAATCAAAGACATTTTATATCGGACCGTAGACCGATGTGAAAAATACATCTGCTACATCGGTTGACAGTTAAGAATGATGTGAAATATGAGTTTAATTATTTGTAAAAAAAAAAGAAAAACACTTTTTACATCGGTTGGTGTCCAGAACCAATGTAAAAGGCGTGTTTCCAACAGAACCGATGTAAAAGGTGTCATAGGTGCGTTTTTACATCGATTGTCCAGCAGAACCGATGTAAAAGATGTAATAGGTATGTTTTTTTTACATCGATTGCCTTTTTGGTCTGATGTAAAAGGTGTGCTACGTTCCTTCAAAAATTATGTTTTTACATCGGTTTCTAGGCTCACCTGATGTAAAATGTAGGCTGTCTTTCTTAAAAATTTGAACTATTTTTTATCAGAATCAATGTGGAATCCCTGTAATTTTTTTGGTACCTAATTTTTCATATTTTTCCAACATTACACATACCACATTTAATCCCTATTTGGTATGCAATTTTTCATATTTTTTAACCAACCTTTTAGTTTTATTACACCAAATAGCTAGGATGCACATATTCTTCAGCATGAACAAATTGATTTACAAAAGTACTAATCTAGTATACACACAAGTGTACAAAATTATATGTATGTTTTCACGGTGGACTAATACAACAACAAAACCAGTGAAAACATACAAAGATATTCAACTATTTATAAGTCCTTTTCCACACTTGAATTACCAACATGCAATCTACAAGAAGATGAGTTGTAGCTAGCTTCGGTAGATAACACCAAAATCACATTTGCTGACAATAAATAATAATACCAATAAACATCAGTAGACAATTCAATATAACTTATCATATAAAACTTAATTTTTATATAACTCAAAGAAACATTTTGCCCAACGGAGTCGTAAATCATACAAATCATCTTGTGTTAATTCTGTTGGGTCATCAAATACCTACAATACGTAAATAACAATATAAAGTTATTCTTTGGAAATTCACCGTAAGTTGCAAAACGCAAAGTAAATAACAAAGTAAAATTATTTTTATTACCTGCAACCAAGACCGGTTATGTTGGCAGAGACAATATCCAACATATTTTTCATGATATAGTACCCACACTTAATAAAGTTACGTTGTCGCCTTGTCTACAAATGAATGACACAATTAGTGAATACTTATGATAAAATTAAATATAGAATTATAATTTACACCACGCTTACTTTGGGTTGGAGCCATGTAGCCTTTTTTCTATTGCCATTTGCCATTTGATAAACCCCAAAAGCACTAATTCAGAAAAAAAAATCCTTATAAAGCAACATAAAGTATGAAATTACTTTTGTAACATTTTAGGTACATAGGATATAAAATATAGTATAACAAAAGTCACATAAAAGATAAACTTACTTTGTAACAATTTTCTTCATGGTTGGATTAAGTTCCCGATGAAGTGAACAAAAGACGACCACAATATTGTCTCTTGGACAAATGATTATTAATTGTCAATGGTCTCTGTACGTGTGCGTGAAAACACAAAAGTTACATAAAATATCTATGTTATCAAAAATAAAAAATAGAAAACACAATTTCATACAAACTTACCCATGAATACATGGTAGTAAGTGACACACTCTCTTTTCGTCATGTAACTTATCTTGTATGTATTTTTTAACATCTGTTTTAGTTTTTGGCACATTATCAACATACACACACCTAGCAGGGTCCATAAATCCATATACTTCTGATGTGGAATTATTAATACATACACGATGAATATACCTGAATAATTTTAAAATAAACATTATAATCAAAGTGATGAGAGATATAACATATTAATAGATATTAACAGTAATTAAAAAAAGTACTTATGTGGACCAAACTTGCAGAATAGACACGTCAAACCAATGAAAATCCACCAACAACTCTCTGATACACTTAGCTGACATATACAAATTAGTGACACTCACACAATGACTTAATTTTATTTCCAAGTGTGTGTCACCATTTTCAAAACCATGAGTAACAATCTTTGAACACCGTCTTCCACTTCTTTTGTGTTTCCTTTTGCAGCTGAACAACTTCCTTTTTCGCTTCCATCGACAACTTTTATTTATTCAATGCATTTTTTATTTTCTGTGCTTTGCGAGAGACCCATAGACCTAAGTATCTTCATAAAAGATTGTTGCAACATCTTACGCCCTTCAACTAACTTTTGCTCAAAATCAGCTCTAAGTTTTGCTTCCAATTCCAAAGAAAATTGCGTTAGTTGTTCTTGTACATCCATATGTCGTCGTTAACGTGAAGACGACCTTTCAAAAAAAGTGCTAATTTTATGGTGTTTTCCAATACCACGAACACGACCGCCATGCTCAAATGTTCCAATGGCTGCTGTTAAGATATCGTTACGTCCATCTGGAATAAAGGCACCCTTTTCAGCTTCCTCAACTAGAGAATCCTACAAAATGAAAAAACCAAAACTAATTTCAATAGTTTTATCAATCACAACTATAATGATGCTTGAAGTATTTTCTAAAATTTACTTACAATTTTCTCAGCAACAACTT